CGGCCCCCCGCACCCCCCGGCCGCCCCCGCGCGGCCCCCGGCCCCGGGTCGCGGCGCGGCGCGGGAGGCAGCATGGTGGAGAAGCGCTGCCCGCTGCAGAGGGACGGCGTGTACCGCTGGTTCTCGGAGCTGCCGTCGCCGCAGCGCGTGGAGTTCCTGTGCGGCCTGCTGGACCTGTGCATCCCGCTGGAGCTGCGCTTCCTCGGCTCGTGCCTCGAGGACCTGGCGCGCAAGGACTACCACTCGCTGCGCGACTCGGAGATCAAGGCCAACAACCCGGCCGACCTGGGCAGCCTTACCAACCTGACGGACGAGGTGGTGCGCAGCAAGCTGCTAGTGTCGCTGGCGCTGTTGGGCTCGGAGCAGCGCGAGGCGGCGGGCGTGCTCTACCGCACGCTCACGCACATCGACTCCATCATCCACAACTACGGGCTGCAGCTCAACGAGGGCCGCACTGGCGATGAGTTCCTGCTGCTCTTCACCATGGCCTCTAACCACCCGGCTTTCAGTTTCCATCAGAAGCAGGTCCTGCGCCAGGAACTCACGCAAATCCAGAGCAGCCTGAGCGGCGGCGGCAGCAGCAGTGGAGGTCCCGGGGGCAAGAGCGCTCCCGGGCCCGGTGGCGCTCTGCCCACCTGTCCAGCCTGCCACAAGGTGCGTGCATGCCCGTGCTTAGGGGGATGATGATGACTGGAAGAGGCCATCCCGATTTTGCGCCCAAGCCCGTACTTACGTCTGCACCCCAGGCTCCAATCCACCCCAGATCTGCACCCTAAGGCCCCACTCCTGGCCCCCATCTGGGACCCCAAGTCTATCCCCAGTTCTCATCTCGCATCCGAAGGCCTTATCCCAGGCCTTATCCCGGTGTCCCAAGCCCGCATCCCAAACATTAGTTGCCCACCCTCTGCGTGACCCTCTGGGTTGCGACAGGGTAGCGAGCGCGCTTGCGGTCAGAGTTTCTGGCCTCTTTGTCCTGTTTCACATAATTTCTGGAAAGGCGATAAAGCCTTTGTCCCCTTAATCGGGCTCTTGGATGACAGATTAACAGTACATTGTGTCGCCTTGGTTTCTCCAGATCTGGTGTTTATTACCAGAAAAGGAAGGATTCTGTCCGTGCCAGAAGTCAGGGCGAAATGGGGCTGAGAAGGCGCTAGAACCTTGGTTGCCACAGGGCCTGGTCCCTGCTGCTGGGCCTGCCCGGCACAGGTGTCTGCGGCGGGCGGGCGGGCGGGCGTGCGCGCAGGTCGTGGCAGGTTCGCGTGTGCGCGCGCGAATACTAGGAGTACGTTGTGCGCGCGAACGTGTAAATGTGTGTGCGTGTTTTGTGTATATCTGTGTGTGCATGCGTGCTGTGGATGTGCGTGTCTGGTTGTCAAGAACCAGGCTACTTACTGTATGAGAGATTTTGGAGCCTGGACTCCATCCTGCTCAAGAGTTATTATTGGCACCCACCTTGTCCCGGGATGGAAACCCAGGGTCTTAGGTTAACTTATAGATCTCGTCTCCACATTGAAAAGGAAGGGCAGCTCAGGTCATCCACTCAGAAATGCAAACTTTTTGTTTAAATGTTTTGAAAGTGCTTAAATACAAAGTGTTTGGGGCTCACACCATTTTTATCACACTGTACCCCGCCCCCAGCCCAGGGCCAAAATTTTGCTGTTGGAGAAAAGGCCTCTCTGACCAAGTGTGGTGCCTTAGATTACACCCTGGGTTTCTTTGGAAGGTAGGAGGGTCAGCCAGGGCCAGTCTGCCCAGTGCCCTCTGCAGCGTCTTTGAGCTCTTGACAGGACAGCCTCTGTGGAGTGGCAGGGAAGACTGTCAGTGAGTGGGGTCCTTTGAGTCCTTTGGGCCTGAGCTTGTGGCTTTTCATCCCCCGCCTTCCTCTAGGAAGTGGTTGTGGTCCATGTGTTGGTTTTTATTGCTGTTGAATCGTTTTGGTGGCACTTCCCCCGAGACTGTGGCTTTCTTGGATTCCATGTTGAGTGTCAGGCAGACAAATGGCGTCCACATGAACAGGAGGAGTGCGGCCCTGGGAAGTGTGGTTGCTGGTAGTAAGCTCGGTCAGCTTCGAGGGACCAGTGAGTTGTCGCTCGCCTGTACTTATGGCCTCCCCTTGCTGTTGGTCCTGTCTCCGCGCTGGCCCCTGATGGTGTGCCTCTGTGAGGGGCTGCGTGGCGTGTGCGATGCATCCCACTGTGAAGGCAGTGGAGGAGGGTTCTTCTGTCGGGCAGTGAAGTAAATCTGGAACAAAAATGTCTTTTATAAGAGAGCGTTTTTGTCAAGTAGGAATCTCTTTGATGAGATGAGGGGGTAATCTATTCCTCCTACACACCTCCCCCCTTGGAGGCCCTGAGCACTGAACTCAGCAGCTTCTGTGACCTCTGCCAGAAAGCTCCATGTCTCAGCGTCTCCTGGTGGCTCTGCAGCAGGCCTGCCTTGAGGACTGTTCAAGTGACAAGTGTAAGGCCCAGCCATGGTCCCCGGTGCTTCCCTCTCTTCCCTGACTGCCCGGCTGTTGAAATTCGTTTTTACAGAGATGCGCTCTGCGTAAGTTGAATGGTTGTATCTTGCTGTGAGTGTTGATGTTGATGTTTTTTACACGGATTTTTGAAGAGTTGCTTTGGATGGTTTTTTTGGTTCATCTCTGGAAAGTTGGAGAATCCTACTTGAGCTTTGATAATGAAGGTTATAACGATAAGTCAGGGCATTGTTTGCCTGTTTGAAAACAAGTGTGGTTTCTGGTTGTCCCTGTATCCTCCCTGCCCCATGGAACTGTGGTTGGCTGTTCCTGCTCCTTCATGACTTGAAGGTTGGAGCCTGATGCTGAGGAGCCCTGTTGCCTGGAGTGGGCGGCAGGTGAGGTCAGCCACCAGGGTCTCCTCCTCTCAGTTCCTCTGCACATAGCGCCCTGAGGAAGGGCCTCCTTGCGTTCTTTCTTGAACTCTGAGCTTAGAGACTGTGCCTTTTCTTTTAGACATAAAAATTTGGATTGCTTCATAAGTTCTCTGTCTTATATAAATTTTTATTTCTTCTGTGTTTTCTTTGATATTCATTATTTGCAATTTTTTCTCTAAACATTCACTGTTTTTCTTTAAAAATGCTGTTGCATAAAGAATTTCTAGAAGAAGATTAGAAGCAGAGAGCTTTTCTTAAATTAAGCAGGTGTTTTACTTGCAGAAAGGAAAATATAACAGTAACAGTGGTGGTAGAGGAAAGTGACTTCACGGCGCTGAGTGTCTGCTAACTGCTACAGGTGGCTCCTCAGACAGGGTGTTCCAGGGTCTTACCACGCAGGAGTCTGGGTTTGGACCCACCACTGTTAATTGTTTTTATTTAAATAGCCAGAGATTTGGAAACAGCTTGAGATCAGGCCCTCTGGTCAGTGGCGGGTGTGAGCGAGCTCCCGTACTGCAGGCTCACCTCGTACTGCAGGCTCACCTCGTGCACTGTGTGGCGCCTGCCTTCAGTGTAGTCGGACTGTGCTGCCATTGCCACTGTGTGGCCTCCGATCATTTGTGTCACCCAGAAGAGACCCTGGTACCCATTCTCCTTTCCCGCTTCCTAGCAGCCACTGGTCGATCACCTCCTTGCTCTCCCCATGGAGGTGTCTCCTGGTGATTTATATGAATGGAGTCTTGTGTATTGGCCCATGTGCCGTCACTGAGCGTCACGTCCTCCTTGGCCTTCTGCATGGTGGCCCGTGTCAGCTCCTCACTCTGTTTTGTGGCTGAGGACTGTTCTTTGTTTACACTAAGTTCATGCACACTTTGCTCATTCCTGAGTGCCTCACGTTTGGGTTTTCACGGGCTCTGTTTTAGGTTTTTCTCATGGCTGACTCCCTTTGACCTGGCTCCACAGATGGCCCTGGGAGCAGTCAGCACACAGCTGTCTTTAGGGAGGGACCTCTTTCTTGTGATCCATTGCTGCCTGGCAGGTTGCTGGGTAGATGCTGTGCGACTCTGTCCTGAGTGCGTGTGGCACTCAGGGAGAGGTGGCAGAGCACAGTGCAGTGGGTGGAGACCAGGTCTGGGCCTCCCTGTGCCCACTGAGCTGCCCCTGCTGCCTCCTGATGCAGATGAGGTGTGCATTTTTAAGATGGTTCTCCAAGTGCAAGGTGCAGGGGTGCTTTGGGGCCAGTGGTCTCCCTTGGGTGTCTGTCAAACTGTATGCTTCTGGAACTGTCTGCTCTGGTTCACACATGTGTGCCCAGTGTGGCTCTGTGGGGGTTTTCGATTTACACAGATACTGTGACTAAACCTGCTAATCATCCTTGTCGAAGGTAACGGAGCTTACACGTGCTGCTTTCGTGAGCTCTTAAAACCTTGCAGTTCAAAGGTGGAGCATTGGACAGTTTGTCCTGTGGCTGTTGTGTGAGGCGTAAGAGGCTTCACGGGTTTCTCCTTTGGCTCTGAACCCTGCCTCTTGCAGCTGCAGGCCACCTGGCATTCCACGGGAGTAGATGTCCTGCGCAGCAGCTGAGGTTGCCGCGGATAGCTGTGGGGGAGCTGGGACCTGCGGGCACCGTCTCCAGTGTTAACGGGTTCCTTGGGCAGCTGATGTTCGGCCAGTCCCTGACCTTCGGTCTGTCTCATTGCCTCACTGGGGGCTTCCCAGGAGGGGATGCCTTCACAGGTCTAAAGGACTGCCCTGTCTTTAGAGTGAGGCACGTGGCGGAGGCATTTGAGCATCCTGGAGTGCAGCTTTAATTGCTTTCTTGTTGACAGCAAAGCCTGCTCCCATCTTGGAGCTGCAGAGCCCTGCCTCTGCCACACAATGGCTTGGACTGATGGCTTGGACCGTGTGACTGTTTCACTGCTGTCCTTTGCCCTCCCGTAGATTCAGGCCGCTGCCTTCCATGTGAGCTGGCGCGCTCGCCTCCCCCGCAGCAGGCCCGGCTCCTGGTGTGCAGTGTGTTCTGGGTGTTGTGTGTGAGACGGGAAGTTTGCGTCACTTACGTATGATGAGTAATGTGCCACTTGCACAGGGGGCAGACGAGCCCACTGTTGACCTCAGCTTGCTTTGGCCTTGTGTCTGTTGAGTTGAGACTGCAACTAAAACAGAGGAGACAGAGCACGCTAACTACTCGTTAGGCCTAGGAAAAACAATTCTGTTTTCGTACCCCCTGTTGGTGGGGTTAGGTTTTAGAAACAGACCTTGCCCAGACCTTGCCCCGGCACTCGTTCTGGTGGTGGCCTCACAGGGGATTAGGAACTGTGGCTGAGGCTATGAGTTAGATCTCGGGAGGAGGCTGACTTTGGACTTTAGCCTTAACTTGGACAGTTTAGAGATCACTTTTATCCAGGTGGTTTTTCCTCTGGTCTCTGCAGATGTTTTGGTTGTGGAGAGACCTGACCCTTTGTAGAAACACTGATATTGAAAGTGAAGGGGTGCTCAAAAACTACTAAAACAGGTAGATTGTTAGCAGTCTCCATCTTGTTCTGGTCAAAGAGGTCTGCAGTTATCTGAGGTGGGACAGGACCAAGGCAAGATAGTACCTTTCAAGTAGTCAGTCTTTTGACAGCTGTGGGTAGTACTGTGGGCAGGATTGGGCTAGAATGTGGCGCCCATGGGGTTGCCAGGGACGGAGGGGCTGGGGTGGCATGCTCCTGCCCCTGCACACCCACCCGTCGTCCTGCTCTGGATCTTATGGACCT